AACAGTAAAAAGTATAATATATATATATATATATATATATATGTGTGTGTGTGTGTGTGTGTGTGTGTGTGTGTGTGTGTGTGTGTGTGTGTGTGTGTGTGTGTGTGTGTGTGTGTGTGTGTTGTGTGTGTGTGTGTGTGTGTGTATGTGTATATATATATATATATAAAATGTCAAGTAGGAACCATAAGGTTTACATATACATTGAAGTTACTATGAGTACTAGTAGACCTGGTATATATAAAAAGAGAATAACTACGTATCCGACTCATCCATAAAAGATATTGAGTCCTTGTTCACAATTTCTTGGTCAGGTCAAACTTTATCTCGTGAAATATGCATTTGAGAATAGAAATATTCCACTTGGTGCAAGGCATTCCCGAAGGATACATGCATAAAGGAGAAACCTTTTTTCACTTATTTCGCATACTCCTTAGCTAAAGAGAGATTTTCAAGACACATCTTCCAAAGTTCTTCCTCAGTCTTGTTTCAACCTTCTTGAGTCTCTTTCAAAGATTCTCCCAACTCCACAACCTTATTACGGGAGGAATCTTGAGCGTTGTTTGCTTTAGCAAGAGCGACCTCAGACTTGGTTAATGGTGTATGTGCAAGTATTATAGATTTTTCTTTCTCCTTCATCATTTGTACAAATTTCTATATCTTCTCGGTCAATGTGTCAGGATACCCAAAAGGTTTCACATTAGCCTTTACAATCAAACGCAAACTAGACACCTCTTAGAGATTTTCCAAGTATCTATCACACTCATTTTAAAAAGCATTGGCATGTTCCTTAAGCACCTTCTTTTCTCTTTGAATATGTTCAAGTAAGAAGATTTATCACCTCCTGACAGCGCCAAAAGCCAGATTTTCCAATTCCTTTTAAAGGACAACTTCATCTTTTCCCAAAAAGTATGTATAATCTCCAGAAATTTTTGGATCAAGGAGAGGAAGGAGTGAGGGGAAAGAGTCATCGAAGTTGACGTAGTCCCTCTCATATAGTCATATTCCCCATAAATCTTTCTTAACCATTCGAAGTCATCGGACGAGTGTCTTCCCCCTCCCCTAAGGAACCCCAAACTCAGAATTAAAAAACGGACTCCCTCTAGCCATTACCAGCGGCGAGCACAAAACATTTTCACTACAATCCGATTGGAAGAATCACTTAAATTTGCATGTGTTGCAGTAGGTTATAAAATAGTAACCATCACAACTAGGGACCCCGCGGTCTCGACCCTTTGTAGTTGGAAGAATAGTAGCACCCACTGTAGAAGGTACGACTTTAGGAGTCCTTTTTATTTTTTGTATTGTTTTATAATATTTCATTTTGTCTGCAAGCTAATAATACACATTCTAGAAAGTAAATCAACAAAATTATATTCAAGAAATAGGGGGCTTCCCCATGTTACTTACAAAAAATGATATGCATAACCTCTTTCGATTTGGCATCCACTAGCAAGTGTGTCTCTATGTATCATTTCCTTTGTCTCTTCACCGTCGAATAAGAATGGAAGATGCAGTCAACCTAGCCTAAACTCTCAAATAAAAACACCAATTTAATTTTCAGGTAAACTTCTTCTTGAGACAAGATGACCATCTTGTAAACCTATGAACCAAAATCTGCCAGAAAATGACTTTGCTAGAACTTGTCCAAACATTGAAAAGGAGACTCGGACTCTATGATACATATGTTTGCATGAGCCACCTTGTTAAGGGGAATGAATGAGAATTACCTATCTTTGAAATGTTTTACACTCTCTGAGTAAACCTTAAGCATTTGTTGCATTGCCTGAGAGATATCAGGTTTTGACCCTGCGCCGAATCCAAAGAGATGCATTGAGTTTTAAAGAGATGTATGAAAAATGCCGTGATTGGCACACCCTTCTTATATTCACACTAATAATGGAAGACCTTGATGTAAACCAACTCAGGGGATGTCGTTGCAAAGGAGAAACTAGTAAATACTTAAACACGTCAACCTCAAAAATGTTGAAGGAAATGAGGAAAGTGATCAAAGAGAATAAACATTCATGGAGGGGAATAATGCTTGCATATTATTTACTACATATCCTCTTGTCATTTTGAGATAGAATTGCTCTCCAATCTTCAGAAGGTATCACCGTACATATCCTTTTGTCTTTTCAAGATAGAATTGCTCTCCAATCTTCAGAAGATCTCACCGCAGTGAAAGCATGGCCTAGGCCTCCCTTGCACACAAAAATGCAGAAATAGTATCCAATATCTCACCCACGCCTTCCAAACTTCATGCTGGATGTCCTCCATTATATAAGGTCTTGTTAATACAAGAAAAATGTGAATACTAATAAGTAAAGTTGAAAGCTAAATCAAAAATAATATCCTTTGTTGAACCCCAAGACCTTCTTCTAAAAAAATCTAATAAAGAAAGAACGATTGAGATTAAAGGGAATCTAAACATTACATTAAAAGAAGAAAAAAAAAAGGGAGCTCGCACGTTGAAAATGAGTGCACGAATCTACTGCGTGTTAAATGAACACAATATTGAGTATGTTTACTAATTTAAGGGTACTGCGTGTTAAATGAACACAATATTGAGTATGTTTACTAATTTAAGGGTTGAATAGACTTTAGAGATAAACCAATTTTCTGTTAGATCAATTGATCTTGTACAAATTTTTTATTCTTCTTTTCATTTGTTAATGAAATATATTTTTCTGTTATTTAAATTAATTTTTTAACATATTTGAAAATTAGTTTTTTCTATTGTTTTGAAAAATTAGTTTTTTCTATTAAATTTAGCGTTTGTTACACGTTATTTTTTCTATTATTTAAAGTTGAAGATGAAAACAATGATTTTCAACTTTAATTTCATATAGGCGTCAAACAATAGGTGTTTATTGCACTTAGTTGGACATAACAATTTGTGAAAAGTCTTGTTTTTGTTTTGAGCTTTGTATGCGACTGAGAGAGAAAGAAGAGATGATTGAGAATGAGGAAAAGAAGAGAGATGAAAGAGGATTAAGATTTTGTACAATTTTTGTATTAATTAAAATTTAATAATAAATAATTATAATATAATTGTGATGTAAATATAAATATTAACTGTAATCATTACTATAACAATGAAATGAATAACTTAATGAAATGAAAGATGAGGCTTGTGATGAGAGCTATCCTTCCTTAATTGAAATGTACTGTGACAGCTTAATTATTGTAAAAGAATTTTATATTTTTAATTAACCATAATTGTTAAATGTTAAAAGAAATTTAATTTTTATTTTAATTATTAATAAAATAATACTAACAAATAATAGTAATAAACAGACAGTGTACTAATTAATCTCATTATAAATTGTAATGATAATATTGATTTCGTCCGTTAGAATTACGATTTTATTGGGTTACGGTTTTTCAGTTCTAACAAATTATGCAGTTCAAATATTTCAAAATTGAGGTAATTTAATTACAGTGAAAAAAATCATGTATCAAACTCACAAACACTGCCGCATAGACAGAAGATACATTGTAAATCAACATATAAGAAACTCGAAGGGATTTGGTGATGAGGTTATGCATGTGTAGGGTGACCGACAAAAACAACCATGGCGTCGGTTCATCCATGAAATTTGAAGAAGATGAATAATGTATCATTAAAGTTCATGTGCATTTTCTAAGAGAAAATAATAATATAATAACATTAATTTGTTTCAAATTCAAAAAAATTTAAAAAAAATCAACCAGTTATCACTAACAGGTGGCAGTAAAATTGCCACTTTTCAGTGGTGAAAAAGAATTAAGCTTCTTTAAATGTGAAGATACAATTTTATTTATTTTAATTATGCAGAATATTTTTTGAGCAAAATAGATTAATAATGATAAAACAGATTGAATAATTAGTACATTTTGAATGTCTCAAAAATTTAAAAACCATCATCACCCTCTAATATACCCGTCCCGCACACCCTTTTTACTTCGCAGACAATTGCGTATGCAAGCATTTTCATACAATTTTGCATTCTTAAGCTTAAAAATTGTAATGTCCCCAGCTTTCCACGCCCCATCCTCACTTTTTTACAGAGTGGACATAAATTGTGACCCGAAACCATTGAAACCATTTTGAATCTCTTCAAGTTTCAACTGGTTTCGGACGGCTACGGATTTTCCGTTCACCCCTATTTCTTATTAGGTGTTTCTATTTCTTTAAATTTGAGTTACTTATTTGACTTTAACCAAGACCTTTGGACAAAAAGGAAAATTTTTGTGTAAAAGACACAAGCTTAGTCACCAACTAGACTCTTTAAATTTATGAAACCAAACTAAAATGTTAAATCAACTGAAACACAGTACTTGAGCCTTTCTAGACGCCGTAATGTAATGACAAAAGATTAGGTACAAATGATTCATTCACCCACTTACAAGTGCTATGTCAAATATACATACATGATCTTATAATGCATAGGGTAGAAATTCTATGGTAAAGACCAAGAATAGTGTTTTTTAACCTAATAAAACACAATTATAATTCAAGGGTGCTGAGAGAAAATAAACAAAATCAAAGGTCATGCAAGCATATAAAATCACAAAATCAAAGGTATTCTAATGGTAAACATCTAAAATTACAAATAGTCTGAGTTAGTCTAACTCGGTGGTACATTATGGAAAGGATTTGTAAATAATATAATTCCATTGTTTTGATTTATGGATGGTGTAAAATGGAACATGATAAAATTTCTTCCGTTTCATCCCATCAAATCCTAATTCCTCCCCATTCCATTCTGGTTGGTTCCATCAAATCAAATATAACCTAAGAAATGAATAAAAACGGAGTTTTTTCTTTATCTAGGTAGAACAAAGATGGACATCTCACACAGAAACTACCAAATTCCATATTAAATATCACAATTCATATCAAATTCATCAATCACTTAATAAGGTCTTTCAATTAAGAGTTCAGATAGATCAAAACCCAAAACATATCTGAATATTCAAAAACAGAAATTATAAAAATAAAATAAAAAACCTAATCAAGCAGTAAGAAGAACAGCACCACCCGCCTCTTTAATCTTCTTCTCCGCAATCTTTGAAATCAGCTTCGCCTTGACAACAACAGGCTGATTCACCGGCAAAACCCCTTTACCAAGAACCTTAAAGTAACCAAACTGCGAAACATCGATAACAGGAGCAGTATCCTTCGACTTCGCCGCCTTATCTTTCACCTCTTGAGGTAGAAGAGACCAGAGAGTATCAATGTTCACGGTGGGACAGTGAAATTTGTTGCGGAGTTTGTGGAAGTAACGCATACCTACCTTGCCAAAGTAACCGGGATGATACTTGTCAAATAGGATGCGGTGGTGGTGCATACCTCCGGCATTTCCTCGTCCGCCAGGATGCTTACGGTGTTTGCCGATACGGCCGTGACCGGCGCTGACGTGGCCGCGCTTCTTGCGGTTTTTCTTGAGGCTGGTTGTCATTTCTGGTTCTGTCTAGGGTTAGGCGTGGTGAGGATTGGTTTGCGTTTTTGTATTTAGGGTTTGTGGTTTTTGGGCTTGGTTCTGAATTGGGCTGTATGAAACATTATCAATTTTTTAAATTTAAAATTTTCTTTTTGTAAAATAGTTAAAAGAAAACATAAACATAAATTTTATATTTCTAAAATAACTTTTCTATTTACTAAAATTTTTCTACATATCTTTATAAAAAATTATATTCTCCATACAAATGAAAGTTTTAGAATTGCAGTTCAAAACAATTTCAAACCACAGTTTCATATTTTTACTTGTAAATTTTTTTCAAACTTAAGGTTTCAGATTTCAAAAGTCAGATGTAGGTTTTATTTGTTTGCATTTTAAAAGTTGACATCTATGCAAACTGATGTGATTTCTCATTTGTATTAGTTCAATGTCAAAATAATAAAAGCCAAATTCTTATAATCCAAATTATATTAAAAGAGGTAGAGTTACATATATTTTGTTTGTTCAAAAAGAGCAAGAGAGACTACATAGACTTAAAAGCGCTAAGCCTCTCAGTCACACACATTTTCAAAATTTTGAGGAAGATAAAAAGGCTCTAACGTAGCTAGATGTCTAACCAAAACCACAACCTCAACCACTAAGAGAGAAAATTGTATAGTCATATTTGGGTGGTATCAAAAATATATCGATATTGCCTATATTTTGTGATCATGTATGACAAAGTGTATAAGGGGCAAAGTGGTAAATTTTATAATTTTTTATTAAATTATGATTTATTTGTTATTTTTTAATATAAAGCCTTAATGCATTAAAAAAATTGAAGTACACATAAAAAATAGGGATTAGGTCAAAACTCACTCAAGAGACAAAAAAAAAGTTAAAGAAAAACAAACCTAGCATATTCTTTACGAAATCTCTTCTGATTTTTATAAGTAAAAACTTAAAGATTTGTAAGACCTTACATGTGAGGTCTATAGAAGAAGAAATAAAAGTTCACATAACTATTACTTTATGTTCTGCCCTGGGCCCCGGCTTGACCGGGCAGGCCCAGTCCAATAATATTCTGCCAAGCCCAATCCAGCTTGGGTCATAGCCGTCGAGCACAGAGTCCCCGACGAACAGGTAAAGTCCCTCCGCGGGCAGAACCTTCCTCATCTGTGTCGAGCACAAGACTCCTCGTCGACCAAACACTCCCTACGCGGGCAGAACCTGCTCCCTCCGCGGACAGAGCCTGCTCCCTTGTCGGGCAGGACAATGTGTTCTTCACACGTTCTCCACGTGCTCCCCTCCGCGGGGACACGTCATCCACCAACTGCCCACCTCCGAAAGAGCAGGTCAACCCACTTTCCGGAGTTCACGGAGCAGTTGAACTATGGCGAATACCACGTTCTGGTCTTCACTGCGCCACGTAAGCCCTAGCAGTCACTTGGGTTGGGCCTGGCCATCCAGCCCAACTCAAGTGACCGTTGGCCCTGCGCTGGGGTCTCTCTATAAATACCCTCTTCTCCAAGAGGGTCAAGTATTCTCTTCTTACCCTTTTTTCTGTACTTGTGATCACTCTGCCCATACGATTACTTTGGCATCGGAGTGTCTTGCAGGTGCACCCCCTCCTCTTCTTTAACGTCGGTGGACAGGCAGTAAGTCAAGGACGCGTGGCAGTTAGTGATCCCCTTCTGATCAGGTCATATCACTTTCCTTTTATATATGTGTGTGTGCGCGCGCGTGAGTTAGAGAAAAGAAAATTGGAAAAGGTGAAAGATATATAAACCTCTCAATAATGTCTAAATTGCCAAGTGACCAAATTATAGTTGAAAAAGGAAGAAACCACGAGTATGGAGTCAGACTCAATCCAAAACTCAGTCCACAATTTAATTTAATGACGAATTCTAGGACGGAATAGTATTACAAAGATAAATGAGGCACTTACCACTAAGTTAGAATGCTTGTTGGAACTATTTTATCATATTAAAAAAATACATTTCAAACATTGTCAATTACATTTTTTTTAAAACTATTTTATATTTCATCTATACAATATATAAAGAGAATACTTTATTTTGGTGTGGCTTATTTTTCTACCATTTTTACCCTTACTTTATTATGTAATTTACTTAATAACTTTTTATTATTAACTTCCACGTAACTTCTTATTATTAACTTTCATATATTGTATATTTTTAAAAATTTATTTAAACAAAAAGTGTCGTTTATATTTTCATTCATGCGCATTAAAAAAGCGGACAGACGGGCACGCGAGTGCCCGGGTCGCTAGTACTTAATAATGTTATTATTATATAAATATGTATTCAATATTTAATAGGTATTTCATATTTAAATTTATCACATGATACTTATTTATTACATAATTATTCAAAATTATTTATTTAATATTTTATAAATTATTTAAAAATTATTTCATGTTTAATAATATTTAAATACATTTCCTATATCATTTAAATATGATTCAATATTTAAATAGATAAAAATATATGTTTCAATATATTTCAAAATGATATTTCAAACATTAAAAATTATAGTGTTATATTTGCAAAAGACCTTGCCTAGGGCGACGCCTTGGGACCGTCCTAAGAAAGGCCACGACGAAAAGTCGTTTAATAGGAGGTATCACATCACTCTTGAGTACTCCCTCGTCCTTGAGAATTCCCTCGACGATACGGTAAAAAACGTGGGATAAGACATGTCTTTGATAAAGAGAAAGTCAGGGTTGTTGGTCCTTTTGGGATTGGTTGTAACACCCTTTTCTACCCCACAGGAAAATTAATCATATTTATCAGAGTAAAATACTGAGCGCAATAAATTAATCATAAAAGGGCGCACATTTCTCAACAATTCAAATATAGTCAATACTCCGTAAACAAAGGGTCTTTCCAAAATTACTCAAAAGGTAGTGGAACTCAAAAAGACAAAATCCAAAGTTTTCCTTGCGCCGCAAGGTAATCAACATAACAAAACTCAATAAAATATAGTTTAACTCAAAGACCCCAACCCAATGTTACACTATCATAGCAAGACCCTCTAAGTCAACCACAATCGCCAACGACCCAAAAACTTCAAAAGTCCTCGACGACATCCACGACTAAACCTGGTCATCTGCACGTTACCCACGTGGAAGCAACATTCAAATAGGCAGGGTGAGTAAAACCATTCATAATAATCAATATAAGAATCAATAGATAAAATAGCGTCATTTTCATATCTATCATCATCATAATCATCAAGGAACATCAAAGGGCACAACATTATAAATTACATTAAAATGTCACATAAATGCAAATGCAACAAGACTCGTGCATGTGGTACTAATCAACATAATTCGATGGACATTGGGCCATCAACCCTCTATAGATCCTACATTGATTCTACACGAGAATCGGAGCACAACAAAATACCTCACATCCGCATAATTGGGACTGAAGCCACAAAAATCAAGGTCCTGAACCGAAGTCCGGATGCATATGAATGCATGATGCACACGTCAATGTCATCCTCACAATAAACTCATTAGGTGTATCATCATTCATCAAAATCATAATAATAATCATGTCATCATATAATCATCAAAACTCATGGAAATCAACATCATAAATTATCACGATTATTCATGGAAATTCATCATACAGCCATGTATTAATCTCATAAAATCACAATTATACTCATGGGAATTCATCAGAGAAATCACAGCGTTAAAATATCAAGTCATCACTGCGCAAGATCAGAATTCACGAAACTCTGCTACATTCGCTAGCAAGTTCGCTGTGCGAATCTGGAGCGAATGTTCGCCGTGCAAACTCGCGATTACAGCAAATCGCTGTTACGCACCAGCACCAAAACCAGACCAAAAACCTCTACGATTTCCTTTCCCAATGCCCTAAAAACATCCCTGAATCATTCCTAAGGTATTACAGCGATAAAGGCACAAGATCTACGACTTATTAGGCCAATCCCGTATCATATTTAGCCTTCAATTCCCATAAATCCTTACAACTACCCCACAATCATTAGAGTTCTCACTATCCAATTACCCTACAGGATTGAAACCTCAACAACAGATTTGGCCACAAAGGCCTAATTTCCTTTACTCCCAAATCAGCCTCAAACCTATCAGACCATCAGTTCAAATCCCTATACGGTTAAAACCTTAACAACAGATTTTGGCCACGAAGGCCTAATTTCTTTAAATCCGTTTTAAATACATTGAATCACATATTGAAAACAATGAAAGCAATACTCCTCATACCTTAATTACCGACTCTAAGTCTTTCACTTGAGTCTCCAAAACTGTCATACCCCAAAATTTACCCTTAGATTCTTTGATTTTTTTTTGCATACCATTATAGATCATCTCTTGCATAATACCTAATTTATCAGCTGAAATAAACTTGTTGAATTTACAGCCGGATCGGTCAAATTAAAAGTCAACTGTACGTAAAATCAGTGGACGAGAAATTTTAAAACCGAGCCTGCAAACGTTAGTCATATTAATCTATGTTTTGCATAGTTTAACCTGGCGTGCTCATTTAAATTTTTCGATCATTTTTCTGTCACATTTTTGGACAGTTTAAGCTATTTAAGCGGGTAAGATTTATTTCAAAATTTGACCAAATGCTGTATTTTTCTGAATTGTATATTTTTTGTTGATCACTTCGGTGTATTCATTTTATTTTTTCGAGCACTTCGATACTGATTCAATTATTTATTTTTTATCGATTTTATATCTATTTTTAATTAATTATCTTTTTTATTTAATCAAATTTTTAATTTAGATTTATTTTGAATATTTTATCTTTAATTTATTTTTTTTTAATTAATTTTTGTTTGTTTTTATTCTTTTTTTAGTAACACTTAGTTACTAAGTTTTGAAAAGTTACTTTACTATTTTGCTTCATTTTGTAAAATTAGTATTATATTAAATTATATGAGGAGACCGGTACATAACACGATATTTTTTTCATCTTCTTGATCTTTTCACTCCTTCACCA